ACATGGACCGCGGCGGGCGCGGCGGGCGCGAAGGCGGGCAGGACCACGTTGGCGGCGAAGTGCGTCAGGGGCTGCGTCAAGGACAGGCCGGCGAAGGGGCGAGAGGCCACCCCCGCCAGGGCGTCGTCCTTGCAGAGGGACGGCGTCGGCGAGGGCAGCTCCTCGAACATCGGCAGGTCCGTCTTCGACTCATACCAATCCGAGAAGGATTCTGCAAACAGACAAAACACACAATCAGACGTCGGTCTAAACGAAAACTCAACTTGGCGCTGACGGGCGGTCCCCATCAGAACCCACCCCCAACCCAGACTCCGCTCGTCCCGAGGGGCGGCCGGACCGCCGGCAGGCCCGAATGCGGCGGCAGCGCAGCGCAGACCGAGATAGGTGCGGCGGCACAGCGGCCAGATAGCCCGGCCGGCAGACCAAGGTTCAAAGCACTAGACAGTAGACAATGGCGGCCGGTCGACGACCTGAGCCAGCGCCAAACTCCGCGCCACCCCCTTGGCCCGAGCCTTGGTCGCTGTCGGCGCGGTTGGGGTCTTTCTGTTTCGACCGGATGACCTGCACGCGGCGCGGCCTTTACCGGCTCAGGCACGCCACGCACCCTGTGTCTAGTGTAGTCTGCTCTGGCAGGCGGCGCGCCGCACAGACAGCAGTGGGCTGCCGGGCGGGGCACCGCGAGATAACCTGCCGCAAATAGCCCGGGTGGCCGGCGATGGAACAAACCAGCGGCACATGGCGATAAGCGGAGCGACCCGCGCCTTCACATCCACATCGACGGCGAGGCCGAGGGGAAAGAGCAGTGTACCTCACCACCTGACCGGAGTCCGGCCAGGGTCCGACCGGGACGCCGTTTGGCAGCCAAACTGGTCCCATAAGGCCGTGTGGGCCCAGTGCCACCGAGCAGGACCAATGACCGACTCGCCCGGTCGGCGCGCGGAGCGGAGCGCGAAGACTTTCAGCCTTTCCCGTTTCTGAAACGCGCGCCTCGCGAGGCTCGCGCGCCCCAGCCCGATTCCCAGCGAGCGCCTTCAAGGCCCTCGACGTCTTGCGGTCCGCCGTGTCACGTCCGTCAACGCTTGTTGACGCCGGCGGGGAGAGAAAAGGGAATTTTCCGTCGCAAAACACATTGTCAGCCGCGAGTCGACGGCCCTCTCCTTCGCGGGTCGCACTTCGCACCGCGGCGGGGCGCGGCTGCACCCGGAAGAGGGACTAGACCGAGCCGCTCGCCAGAGCTGCAACGCGGAAGAGGGGAACGCGTGGCCGGCCGGGGGCCGCGGCGCCGCGGAGCGCCCAACACCCGGAGCACGCACCGCCTCCTAGGGTCGCCTTATCGGAACGGCCTGCACCCCGCGGAGGGCCAAGGCCCCACGTCACGCTGGCCGAGGCCGCGGGGAACGACGCCGCGGTGGTGCGAGGGCGGACGACGAGCCGAGACAAGCCAGGTCAGGGATGCTGAGGGCGGGTCGAGCGCCAAGTGACGTCGCCGCGCGCTATCTCATTGGTTCCAGAGCAGAGGTTAACTAGCCAGTCGCCCCGATATTGCGGGCAGCTGCTCCCCGCCCCCCCCTCGTCTGCAGCAAAGTGGCGGCGGCGCCAGGAACAGGGCTGCAGTGGCGCGGCGCCCGTTCAAGTAGTGCGAGAGGTCAGTGCTGCGCGCTGCGGCGCGGGGGAAGGAGGACGTCGCCGGCCGACTGGTTCGATCCGAACACCACGCGAGTTATGTCCCTGATAACGCCGCCCGGTCGTCGCTCTGATCTCCCGATCTCGAGATGCCGGGCCGGGGCCGCCCTGGGGACCGTCCGGGGGCCGTCCGGGAGCCACGAGGGGCGCGGCGCCAAGCGCAAAACGCGTCCAGCGCGCCAAACCGGTTCGGTGCGGCCCTCCGCCAAAGACAGGCAGCGAGAGCGGGGCGGGCGCGCGGCCTGCAGCCTCCAGCGCTGCAGCTGGCAGCTCACCAGCACTGTCGCTAGCGCCACGCCACGCCACGCCACGCCACGCCGACACGCCCCGTGCCGCGCCCTTCTTGCGCGGGCCGTGTTACAGCGGGCGCCGCCCTGGACGCCGCCCTGGACGCCGCCCTGGACGCCGCCCTGGACGCCGCCCTGCGCCGCCCTGCGCCGCACCGGTGGCCGAACCAACGACCCGCCCGAGTCTTGGAGCTGGGCGCTGCGGCCGGACGACGAGCTCGAAACCGCTTTTCAGATTCCAAAAGTGCTCCACGCACGCGTGGCTACGTGACGCTGCAGCAGAGAGGCCGGCCCACGGTGCTCGCGTTGCGGCCGGCCTGTTGCTGGCGACCGGCCGGGGCAGCCCCTCGCGATAAGCTATCGGGTCGCAGCGGGGACGCGACGGAGGCCGCCACGGAGGAGGCCGCGGCCGCACCTTCTCGATCAGGCTCGCGGCGCGATGCAGCAGCCACGCGCCGCCGGCCGAACAAACGCACAACAGCGTCGCGGAAAAGAACAACGCAACCCAGTCGGCACGCCGCGGAGTGGAGCGGGAGCGCGAGGCGGCACTAGCGCCCGCCAGGTAGGCAAGCGTCGGTCCCTCCACGCATGCGTGTTCCGACGTTGCCTACCTCGCAGGCGCTTCAGCCTCCCTGCCATGCCTGGCCACGCCGCGTTGCTAGGCGTCAGCGTCGTGTCGCCTCTATCAAATGGGCACAGCCAGCTGACCCACTTGACTCGACTTCCGAGTCGGGGATGAGTGAGCCGCCGAGCAGCCACGCACGCGCTGCCCGCGCTGCTCGCGCACCGTGGCAACGCACTCATTCTCATCGGGGGCGCCGCGTCCGCCGCGCCGCATCGGGTGTGCTGGCAGTCGGCTGGCAGGCCCCAGCGAGGAGCCAACGGGCCCTGCGCTGCGCCCTGCAGCCGAGACACAGTTCTGCGCTCGCACCGGCCAGACAGAGACAGCCACTTCAGGGCCCGTCCGCAGAGGACATCAAATGGGAGGGAGGACAACACGCCTCGGAAACTCGTCTAGCCGACGTTTCAGCCGCCATTCTGATGCGGTGCGAGGCCAGTCCGTTACGTCACGGTGCAATGCGGGCGCGGCGCGGCGGGGCTGGGCGGAGCTGCTGCCGATCTTGCTCCATGCATCCAGGGCCTGTCCACCCCATCCAGACCGCGGCGGTGTCGGCGGCGCGCTCGCAGGGAAGTCCCTCCCTCCCTCCCTCCCTCCCTCGCCGCCGTGGGCGCGCTGCGTTTTCTCTGCCGTCCCTGGCCGGGGCCCTGGCCGGCCGGATCAGGTTCCGTGGCAAACAGGTCACTCCGCGGCGCACTCACCCCCCCCCCTTTTCCCCCAAGAGGGTGCCGAGGGTGCTACGCACAGTGCTTTTCCTCTCCGGCGGTCGTAGTGCGGCTCACCACACCTGCCGCCGCGCCGCTCTGGCTACAGCTGGCGGCCTGGCGGCACCGCGCGGTCCAAGGTCGCTGGCTCGCCCCGCCCCTCTTATCGCCGAGCCCAGTCGCCCAGTCCGGCAGTTGCCACCGCGACAGGTGACTTCCTCAAGGCGGCGACGCCGTGGGGCGGCCGGGCGCACGGCGGGCCTGCGGACCAGTTCGGCCAGGACACAAGTCCGGACACGCTTTGTGATCCATGGCAATGCCAGACGCATGCCAGACGCATGCCTGATTCGCGTCTCATTCGAGGAACATGGAGCAGACGGCGCGACGTCCCCGGGTTCCGTCGGGGTAGGCTGTCAGCGTCGCTGTGACATGCACCCTTCGTACCGTATGCGACAGCTGCCATGTCTCGCGGCCCGCTGCGTGGAGCTGCGTGTCACTGGGTGCTGGCGGAGGTCAAGGTGCTGGTGAAAGTGGTGGTGTTGCTGGTGGTATCTCTACGGGGTCCGAGGGCGGGGCTTCAGAAAGCCGCAGCAGCAGCAGCCAGGGGGTCGTTGCCGGCACGGTCCTGCCCAAGGTCGCGCCCACCGTTCACCTTCTTTTCACCAGCTTCTGGGAGTTCACAATGATCTCCTTGTTCCACGTGTAGTGGTAGCTGAACTTCATGCTATAGTGGTGCGGGCACCACATGGGGCTGGCACTACATCCAGACACGGTCACAGCTTCGTGGGGCACGTCGCCCCGGAACGCGCGAGCGAGCACGCACAAACACAAAGGCACACGCGGGGACGGCCACTGGACGGACGCGGCGGCGATGGCGATCTGCGCGTCAAGGCGGACACATGGGGACTAACCGCGCTAACAGCAGGCAAGGCGAAGGCGAGGCGGGCGAGGCGGCCAGACCGTGCCGCCGCGCAGCGCCCGGCCCCCGGCCCGCGGACCCGCCGCGCCGCACCGCACCGCCTCATCGCCGAGCAGGGGGGAGGGGCGGGGGGGAGGGGCGGGGAGAGTGGGGCGCTGGAGGACACGCGGCTAAACTCGTTGCCGCCGCTCTTCGGCTGCCGAGAACAACAAGAGCCTGCCGGCCGAGCAAGGCGGTGAGGCGGAGCAAGGCGCCTCGCCGTCGCTGTCTCCCTCAGCCCCACGGGCCAGGCCGCCAAGGCCAGACAGAGAGCGACCCGGCGCGGCGCGGCGCGCGTCCACCGCCGGACCACGTGATCAAAAAGCCAGCCATCGCTCAACTCCTGGTCTCGCCTCCGTCGACGCGCTATCTTCCGCGACGCGGCGCGCTTGCCCCGCGCCTCCAGCGATGACGGGGCGACCGGCAGTCCGGCACCACCTCGCCGCCTTGCGCCTCGCGCCGCCCGCCAAACGCACTTGGGTCTGCGCACTCGCCGCGCCGACAGGGCGGCACTTTCTCTTTCGCCAGCGAAGGGCGTGGCCCCATAAAAATGGGGCCGTGGAGGGGGGCACGCCGTGTTGGTAAACAACACCCCCTCCCCCTCCGCCGCGGGGCTCCAGGGCCCAACAATTACTGCGGGCCCCGCCTCGCGTCCACGCAGGCAACGCCGGCGCCGGCAACGCCTCGCGCGGCCAGGAAACCCCCGCACGCCGCACGCACGGCCAAACGGCACATTCTGCAGAGCGATCAGTGCACCAGTGCACCCCCCACCCCGCCGCGAGGACGTCGCTACACCGCCGCGAGCTGTCAATACCCCCCACGACAGTTATTAAATCCCACACATCTTGGAAGTTAGTCTGAGAAAAGTTCAGCAACAGAGAGTTGTTTCTGTCAACTTGAAATTCAAATTTTGAACGGTTCGCACGAAATAGCCGACTAACTCACTGAGCTCACGACAACAAGGGCCTAGCAGCATGCAAGTGAGTGATAAGTTGATAAGCACTGAGGCAGCGCTGCACCATGGCTGCACGGCACGACACACGGCGGCAGATTCCCCGCCACAGCAGCCGGCGATACTCCGGGCGCCACGCGCGGGAGCGGGCGTCTCTGCGCGCGGAGTATCGACGAGACAGCCTCCCGCAAATATCCCACGTCCGGGGGGACCGGGTGCTGGTGTAAAGCCCAGCACGAGTCTTGTGACTTCACGTTATGTGAATGGAACTCTTTCACAACTTGGGAAATCTATTTCTAGATGGAACGTAACAACTCAAGTGCCAAGTGAAGACACAAGTCAAAATAAACAAAACTAGATGTAAAAGTGGAATCAAGTGAGGACAAACCTTGTTTGATAAGTACTTCATCGAGATCTTCAAGAAGTTGTGATGCTAGTTGAGCCCGTGCACTGAATGTGGTGGATGGTGAAAGAGAGTCGCATGAGTCACTGGGCGAGTCAGGAAGCCAGGCTCCTGCCTTGCCCTTGACATCCAGCGGATCTTGCGCTTCTTGCTCATCTTGCTTGACGTCTCCAAAAAGCTCCCATATATCAGCTTCCTCCTCAACAAGCCCTGAGAAGGGCGAGAGGGGCTCCTCCTAAAATCAAGCAATGGAAAAATCGTCAAGAGATGGATAAGATAACATTGATGAGAAATAAAGACAAATAGAGGAATGGCTGGAAAAAAAAGACCAAGACATTACCTTCCAAAAGCTGAGCTCCATAGCAGTGTCCAATTCCATTTTTGTTGGACTGTATCACTGCTGGTGTTAAAATAAATGATTGGTCCGATCCAAAGATCGTGGAAAGTAGTGAAAACGCCATGATGGCCCTAAAAATGACAAAAGAGGAAATGTTAACCAATAGCCGTGGAAGGAAAAAACCTGAAACTGGAAAATAAAAGTGTCACTTCACTTGCGAATAGATTCGAATGAAATCTTCTACTTAGTTGAAAAAGAACCAATTTTTTAAAATTCTAGCTAAAAATGGAATTTAATCCGTCAAAGAACAAAGTAAATACTCAGTAATCCGGAACAATGAATCGAAACATATGTTACCTAGTCCACACAAAGAAAATAATTCAATAGGCCAAATTAAGGATTAAAGTTTGTTTATGCAGTTGAGTTTTAATGTTTTTGGATATTTTCGAACCCAGTAAAAGGGCATTAAGATCCATTATAGGTTCCTTTCTCATAGCCACGAGCATGGTTGTTCTCCAGCAAAGTGAAAGTAGGTTAGTAGACCAGAGGCAGGTAGTTTCATTGCGGATAGCAGCATGTCAGCCGGAGGAATAATCATTGGCAACTTTTCACAGACAGATTAAGAATTCAATGCCCTGCTGGAGTGAAAAATGAAAATAGTAGCTTCAGTGTCTTTCGTTTCTTAACGTAGAGGGAATTTTTTAAGAAAGAGAGGATTTTGTGTACAATGCATTGGGAATGAAAACCAAGACAAACAAAAAAATATAACAAAGAAAACAAACTCCAAGTGTAAGGAGAGAGGGCTTGGACAAATTGATGGAACCAAAAAGAGTTAAACTGTCACAGCATGGAGAGTTACAGCCATAGACAGCAAGCTACATTAATAATTGACTTCATAACCTAAACATACTTTTAAAATTGATCTCACTCTAGCACAGGAAAAGGGTTATCCAACAAAATTAAACTTCAGGTAAATAATCAAAACAAGCAGACGATAACCAGACAGTAAACAAAACGGGAAAGACAAAAAACAGATGAGCCAAAAGGGTTGGTGACTCACGCTGAGAACACCGAGGCTTCGCAGCAGAACATCACAGGGCAAATTTCACAAAAACTGAGCAACGTTTCCCTTAAAAAATTATTCTACTTACTCCATTTTTGTTGGGTGTGCTGGCACACAATGTGTGCGGCTGGGTGTGGATCTAGTTCCCCATCTTAACCGATATTTGCGAGCGAGAATAGCAATACAATGTTCTGAGTCGGCGTCATTGGGGAGAGTGAACGAGCGAGGCGCCGCGCGGTGGGGCCAGAGTCGATGATCGCTCCAGAACTACTTTCTTTCTCGTTTTCGCCTCGAGAGATAAGAAGCGAAACGAAATGCTAATAATGCCCATATCAGCGTCTGTGTGCTTTGGCGAGTGCACGTGCTGATAGCGACTTCGAATCGCGAAAAACGGGAAAGCCACAGAGGGACTATTTTTCCTTCCGTCATTTCGTCACGATTGCATCAGCTTTATTTAGGGACCATTGGGGGGCGTGCTGAGTGGAGTCATAGACACAGGATGCGAGCGATAGTTAGTTCGAAAGGTAAAAATTCATGCTGCAGCAAAGGGTTTCACGTTTTTTGAGCAGCATGGTTCTAAAATAAACCTCATCGCCTCGTCGTTTGAACGGGGCGCCTGGCGGAGTGGGTTCCCGCGCCGACTTTCTTTTGTTTCGAGGTTGGCGCGCTTTTTCAAACGGGTGCTCCTGTCACGGTTGCTGCTGTCACGTGCTGCCGTGCCGTATCCACGGTATCCAGCGCCATTTTAATAGTTTCTCTATCGTAAATACATTTATTCTTTTAAAAAATAATCATCACGAAACCTGCGGGGGATCCACCTACAGGCGGAGCAAAGTAGCTCTGTTTGCCTACTTACAGGGGCAAAGTAACACTTTTCTCCTACCTTTCAGGAGGCTATCTAGGTGCTGCGGGGCGGGGGAGGGGAGCCTCCCTCCCATGTATCCGTGCTTGCAAGCAACTAAGGTTACGTGTAAGCTTACCTGACGCCTATGATATTTTTAAAATATAGAAACATTTACTCGCATCGAGCTTTTGTTTACTTACAACGTATTTACGCAAACAAACAATACTATAGTATTTTTATCGTGGATTTTGAGGAACAGTAATTAAGATAGTGGTGATTGTGGATTTGCTCGCGGACTTCACACGACGTGGTGCCCGCTCGGTGCCCGCCGTCCGGGTAGCCCCCCGTGGCGTGTCTCGTGTTATCACTTAACGAGAGGAGCCCTATCTCAGTGCTCGTCTCAAGAGACAGGGGCAACGGGTCAAGCGCGAACGCGTGAGGGCGACGTCGCGCAAATTCTCCGCCGCTATATCGGTGGACACGAGTCGGACGGGGTACCCGATTTCTTTATTTTTGTGGAAAGCAATCTCTTTTGAAAATAGCGTCGTCCGCCGCGTACAGCCTCAGCCAAAAATGTCTTGAGCTCGACCACGACCCCAGCAATGTGTTGTAAGTTGTAGCGTGGTTGCCATGGCCACCACGCTACACCTGCAGGCCCTGTGCGGCTTCGCAGGGCCCCCGTGGGGGTGTTGGTGGGGGCGGGTCGAGGGTGGTCGGGGGTGGCGTCTGTGCGCAGTCGTGGTCTGGTGCAACCTGACGTCACGGCGGCACGGCGGGGCACGGCGGGGCGCGGGCCCTAGTGGCGCCACGTAGCGCCGCGTAGCGCCGCGCGGGGCAGTATAGTCTGGGACTCGGCGCGATCCGGAGCCACCCCCCGCGTGCCGTTGGCGGCGCCCGCTCGAGGCACCGCGTGTAGCGCCGCGCGCCGGTCCCGTCCCCTTGTTATTGTTGTTGTTTCCGTGGAAGTGGAAGTGTTGGTGTAGAGGTGGTGGTGCTGGTGTGGCTGAGACCATGGGAGGCGCTCCAGCGGAGATCAGAATGTAAGTCGACCACTCAGGATTTTCCTTTCATTCTTTTCGTTCGCCACATAAACAGACACGTTATCGTCACGCGACCGTCGAATGGTGTAGGTGAATGTCCTCGCCGCACTCGTTTCATTTTGGGTATTTGGTTTTGAGAAAATATTTATTCCTGTTTTGGGTTGCGGAGCACTGTTTAGTTTCTAGATTTTCAGACCGCTTCGCCCAGACTCACCTCCTCGCCTGGTTGAATGGCGTTCGGCTGCCCTAATTCAGGGTTCAGCGCCACCACAGGACTTTTTTCCCGCTGCTCCCGCTTCCCCTGCCCCTCCCCCCTCCCCTCCCCCGGACCTCCCTCGGAGCGGATATTCAGGTGCAACTCCCGCGCCGCTTATCTCCCGAGGGCCGCTGCCGCCGCTGCCGCTGGCGGGGCCACGCTGCTACTTTGGCAGCGGAAGCGCCAGCGCCGCTCCTGGCTAGGGCTGTGCAGGGCTGTGCAGGGCACGCCCGCCCAAAACGGGGCGCTCGGGGGAATATCCTCCCGGAAGGACAGGGGGCTGGCCGCATTCGGAATCAGCATGTTTCGCCGGCTCGGACGACATATGTCACATTCACGAAAGCCGAATTAAGCCATGAGGAAGTTATACTCGAGCCCTGCCTCGCCGCGCCGCGCCGCCGCGCCGCGCTCGCAGCACACGAACCATTTCGAAGTTGAGCCCTCGGAAAATTAGTGCGCTCTGTTTCGGGGCCAAACGCCTCCCCGGCCCCCGCATCGCCGCGCTGCTGCGGCGTGGGGATAACTTTGCCACTACTCTGCGCGGATCTCGTGTCACTGCCATTACTCACAGCTTGGCTGCGCTGAGGTGCAGTGCGGGGACTGGGATGATTTGGAGGGGGCTCCTCCTCCAAGCATCGGGTAGCTCCATTCCTCATAGTCGGCACTGGGTGCACCATGGTGCACCTTCCTCCCTATCAGACTCCCAAGAATCAACACCCCCCCTCCCCCTCCCTTCCGCAGGGATCGCTTTTCAGCGTCCGAACTGGCAGCAAACCAACAGCCGCGCTGCGACGCGTCGCTACCCCGCCCCGCGCCCCAGCACTCTGAAAACCGTTACTGGCCTCGTCTCTTTGCCTGCGGGGTATTGACGATGCATGCCCGCTGCACTCAGCCTGCCGAATCAAAGAGCGTCCGCTACCTCACGCCTCGGCGATTTTGGACTTTGAATTCATGGTCCTCTTTTTGCGCGGGGTATTGACGATGCATGCCCGCTGCACTCAGCCTGCCAAATCAAAGAGCGTCGCTACCTCACGCCTCGGCGACTTTGGACTTTGAATCCATGGTTCTCTTTTTGCGCGGGGTATTGACGACGCATGCCCGCTCCACTCTTCCGACCCACTGACTACGCGGAGCACACGGAATTTTAATGAACAGAAGTCGTGTTGTGGCTGGCGGGCTGCTCCGTGATGGTGGCCTCTGTGGCCCCGGTGGCCCTGGTGGGTCCCGGTAGTGGCGGTGGCCCCGTGTGAGCTCGGCCTGGCTCGGCCTGGCTTGGCCCTGTACGTGCCGGCGGCCCATTGGCCGAGTCGTCCAAGTCGCGTGCAAGCCGAGTGGGCCCCACCCAGGCTATAGCGTGGCACCCCCGGCCCGCCCCACCCTACAGGCGCCGTCCAGCCTCGCCACTGCAGGTTGCGCATACAGGCCGGCCCGGCCGGGCAAAAACTTGGCCCCGCACCGGCCGCGCTTACGAGGGATCACAATCGGCTTACACGGGCATGCGGAGCTGCGGACTCGGCCTGAGGAACTCGGATGGTTGAGTTTTCTCGTATACACAGTGTTGCATCGCGAACACAGCGCGGAATTTAATGATCAAGCAAGCAAAATTTTTATTATTTTTATTTTTGACGATATTTTGTGAGGTTTTTTTAGTACGCTATAAATTTTTAACGTCGAAAACTCCGAAATGGTTTTGGTTTTGCAAGGTGCCAAAATCGGAATTTCTGGTTTTCTGTGTGTATTTAAGTACGGCAGGTGTTGTCCAGGAATGATGTGGCTCCGTCACTTCGCAGCAGTCGTCTGGAATCCCCCGGGAAGTCGTGGGCCACGCCCCGTGGGGCTTGCTAGGTCTCGCCCGGCCTTGCCCGGGCCAGCCCGTCTGGAACGGTACTTTTGGCAGTTGCCTGACTGAAGCTGAAGTTGGCGCAGACTGCCTGGCCGCTTCTTCGCTTCTTGCATCGCTCGCTGCGTGGTTGCGAGACGCGGGTAGATGGAGGGCGGCGTGGCCTCGGCGTCTGGCCTGCTCCCCGGCGGCCTCACTTGTCTACGAGGCAGCCTCCAAGGCAGCCTCGAAGGGCAGCGAGGCAGGCCGATCCGCAAATGGTCCGATGAATTATTCCCGCGTCCGTGGCCGTGGAGTTGCCCGTGTTGGTCGCCACCGGCCCCGCGCCTCGCCCCGCGCCTCGCCCCGCGCCTCGCCCCGCGCCTCGCCCCGCGCCCCGCCCCGCACCCCGCGCCTCGCCCCGCGCCTCGCCCCGCGCCTCGCCCCGCGCCCCGCCCCGCGCCCCGCCCCGCGCCCCGCCCCGCGCCTCGCCCCGCGCCCCGCCCCGCCCCGCGCCTCGCCCCGCGCCTCGCCCCGCGCCTCGCCCCGCGCCTCGCCCCGCGCCTCGCCCCGCGCCCGCCCGCGCCTCGCCCCGCGCCTCGCCCCGCGCCTCGCCCCGCGCCTCGCCCCGCGCCTCGCCCCGCGCCTCGCCCCGCGCCTCGCCCCGCGCCTCGCCCCGCGCACCGCCCCGCGCCTCGCCCCGCGCCTCGCCCCGCGCCTCGCCCCGCGCCTTGCCCCGCGCCTCGCCCCGCGCGTGGCGAACGTGAGCGTGACGCGCTGGACAGTCTCCGGAGGCTGGAGGGGAGCTGGCAGCTGCGCAGCTGGCGATTCGACCCTTGCCCTTCGAAGGCTGCTCGTGCCTTCGTGCCCCGCTGATCCCCCTTGACCGACCGCCGACCGCCCCGCCCGGAGCCATCGCTTGCTGTCTGTCCTTTTGACCCATGGACAGCACTGGACGGCACTGGACAGCCACACTCCAGCGGTTGGGGTAAAGGGCACAAGTGGAGCCCGGAGGGTCGCAGGTCTGTATCCTGCATGCTACACTGTGGTGGTCCAAACCCCCGACGCAGACAGAAGGCCACCCGCACGCAGCCGTGCAGACAGGTTTGCCTATGCGGTGGTCGGCGGGCGGCGGGCGGCGGGCGGTGGGCGCGGAGGTTGTCGTATTTGGCGCCTGGATCGGGCGATCGAAACCCAGCACTCACACATTTTTACTGGCTGCACCATTGCGGTTCGAACCCACGGCTTCAAGAGCTTCGTTCCAAAAAACTACTTACATGAACTG